AAAGACCTATACACCCTTAAAAACCTACATGACCATAAAATGTAGGCCTTATGACTAGAAACAGAGAGTATAAAATTTTGACACTAAGAAGTTCCAGGGAGGCAAGCCAGGCGCAGTGGCTCACGCCTGTAATCCCAACACTTTGGGAGGCCAAGATGGGAGGATCATGAGGTCAAGAGGTTGAGACTAGCCTGGCCAACATGGTGAAACCCCGCCTCCGCTGAAAAATACAAAAAATTAGCCGGGCATAGTGGCGCACACCTGTAATCCCAGCTACTTGGGAGGCTGAGGCAGGAGAATCGCTTGAATCCAGGAGGCGGAGGTTGCAATGAGGGAGATTGCGCCATTGCACTCCACTTGGGCAACAAGAGCGAAACTCTGTCTCAAAAAAATAAAAGAAGTTCCAGGGAGAAAAAGACTACTTGCATTTAATGCCAACAGATGGTCTCCATAATATTACTACTAAGAAAATGTATGGATACAAAACTACCACCACATTGTGGACTTAAAAGAAATTTGGATTTTAACAAGTTAAACTTAAGCTGAACTCACACAAGTCATCATTTATCTCAGGCAACCAGTATTCTGCACCATCAGGTATCACATTATAGAATAATTACTGAATAAAAGACAAGGAAGAATCCTGAAAATGAAATTTAAAAGTGGATTTCTGGATCTGTAAGAAAGGTGAATTTCCCAGTAAATGCAGGAGACTCCATGAGCAGTGCAAAGTAGTCTGTTACACACCATCTTTAAACACATAATCCATACAGCATTCCAACTGGTTAACAAATTCCATAAAAAAATGAAAGTAGTCTCTATGAAGAGGGCTCAATGAAGCACAAGAAATATGATAACCATGAGCTTTATTTAACTATAATTTTCTATATTAACAAGCTCCTTTCCTATTTATCTAAATCAAATGGCTTTTATTCCACACCAATAATCTCCAAATATGACTGCCTTGGACTCACAACTCACCCCTAAGGAATCTGCCTTATGTTTGGAATCTTATTTTCACTGCATTAAAGCAGTACAGAAAAAAACATTACCACATATATGACAAGGAATAAGAAGATTCACAAGCATAAGGATAGCATAAACTCATTGTTCAGGAATGTGATTGGTTACCCCATCTAACAGTCTGGTGAAAAGTGCCCAGGGAAATGAACACACAACACAGAAATACAGTCAGAAAATGACTGTAGCCAATATCCCGTTCCCACCCCCACAAAACTCCAGGATTTCTTGACAGAACGAATGCCTGCATCACTTTTTTTTTTTTTTTAAAGATTTATCTGTATAAGGATTCCATAAATTCTTTATTCAGCTCATTCCAATGCCTGGCCCAACTGGATATACTAGTAACTTACGCCTAGGTACAAATCAGTGTTTTGTTTTTGTTTTTGGAGACAGGGTCGGGCTCTGTCGTCCAGGCTGGAGCACACTAGCGCAAATCTCGGCTCACCGCAACCTCCGCCTCTCAGGCTCCAGCGACTCTCGTGCCTCAGCCTCCCGAGCAGCTGGGACTACAGGGGAGCGCCACCATGCCCGGCTAATTTTTATTTTTTGTATTTTTGGTAGAGACAAGGTTTTGCCATGTTGCCCAGGCTGGTCTCCAACTCCTGAGTTCAAGCGATCCGCCTGCCTCATCAGCATCCCAAAGTGCTGGGATTACAGGTGTGAGCCATCACACCGGGCCAAATTAGTATTACTCTTTTAAGAACCAAAGAAGGTTCAGGTTTAAAATTTTTAATTAAAAAAAAAAAAAAGAAAAAAGGTTTCCTTGATTTTTTTTTTTTTTTTGAAACGAGGTCTTGCTCTGTTGCCCAGGCTGGAATGCAGTGGCATGATCTCGGCTCACTGCAAGCTCCGCCTCCCGGGTTCACGCCATTCCCCTGCCTCGGCCTCCCAAGTAGCTGGGACTACAGGCGCCCACCACCACGCCCGGCTAATTTTTTGTGTTTTTAGTAGAGACGTGTTAGCCAGGATGGTCTCGATCTTCTGACCTCGTGATCCGCCCACCTCGGCCTCCCAAAGTGCTGGGATTACAGGCGTGAGCCACCAAGCCCAGCCGTTTTTAAATATTTTAATGGAAACATATGAGTCAGATTTCCAAAAGTAGGCTAACAGTGTTTAAATACTGTGCCAGTGTATTTGAGAAGCTGAATGAAAACAAAAGTACCTATGTTTTAAAAATAAATACAATACAAATAAGGAAAAGTTTATTCTACGATTTCAATTTATCAATCAAGATACATGGTAAAGAGAATCATTTCAATTATTTTTCACCTCCACAGCAGTGTTTGAGGTTGGTAGGCTCTCCCAGGAAGCTTGGAATCTTAAGCAACTCTCAATTAGCTCTCAATTTCTCTATTTTAAATTAATCTGCTGACCTGTTGTGGGTAAACATCCATAAATTCTGCCCTGGCTGAGAAACATTTAACTTTTTCGTCTAGGATGAGTGTGTGGGTGTGTGTTTGTAGGGGAGGGGTAACCCATTTTGACCAAAGTGTTGACGGTTTTCTAAGTAAATACTTCCTATCCACAATTTTGTTGTTGTTTATGCTGCTTTCTCTCCCTTTCTGCACTATAAAGGCTGGCCTCCCAATTCCTTACCCAACCCTTCACCAAGGTCCCATCCCACAAGGTTCCCCCAGTTTCTGCTCCGGGTGGCACCTGACGGCCAAAAGTGAACCCCTGCGGTTGTCGCTAGCTAGACGCGGATAGGGCGGACGACTGTCACTGGGGAGCAAGCGTGAGCCAAAGCCGAGGTGATTTCTGACTGCTCACCGGCGGGCCTCGCGTGGCTGAAGGTCTCCGAGCCCCTCAGTTCGCCCCGGCAAGCCAGAAGTGCAGCTGTCGCGGGGCAGGAAACTAATCGCGGCCCCTGCGCCGCTTTGACAGGCCGAGTGGGGAGAAAAGGGGCTCACTGCAGCTAACAGCCTCAACCCTTGGGCTAGGAAGCCACGGGAGCAAAACCTCCGCCCCGGCCTGAAAGCAACCGGTAGACCGCGGAGCCACTGCCACCGACTCAGTCCTGCCCAACAGGGGCCCGCCCAGGGGCCACTCCCCAAGGGAGGCAGCCACTCACTCGCCCGCCCTTCCGGGCCCACTCCCGAGGGGACGGTCTCCCGCCCGCTCTCACACACAGCTAGCTCCTCAGGCCAGGCCCCCAGGGCTTCGTCCACCTCTCACCTTTGACGACGCGGTCAGCCCCGGGAGGGGGCGGCG